ATGTTAGTTTCCGGGAGTGTATCAAAATCATGGGTTCCTCTTCAACGTCTGCTCTAAAATGAAGATGCACCTAAATTATGCCTTAAATGCCGAACCAACATTTTGTTGGCCGTAAACTTAAACCTAACACAGCGCTGTATAATCCTACATGAGCCTAGATAGCCTTAGCTCTCCTGAAACATCCTCTACGGCGGTATATAGCCCTATTTTCAAAATAGAAACCCTTTTCACCCTGTGCCGTACCTCTGCCTATACGTCCCTATATATGTAGACACTAAGCCCCTACATGAGCTAAAGTCTACACTCCTNNCTCCTGGTATCCCCTTAATAACCCCAGTAGTGATTCCCTATATGCTCCCCTGTAAAAGCCCCTTTAAGGAGTTAAGACTTTAAATCCTGAACCCTAAACCTTAAACCTTAAACCCTAAACCCTGATCCCATATATAGCCCCCCTGCCTTTGAGGAGTGTAGACTATAGCTCATATGCGATGTTGAGGGTTCGCCGTGTCCTCAAAACCCATGGGCCCATCAGCTGCAAGCCATTGCGAATGCGGCTCTTCTTTGTGGAACCCTAGGGTTACCATAGGGTTTAGGGTTTAGGGTTCAGGGTTTAGGGTTTAGGGCTTAAGGCTTAAGGCTTAGGCTTTATGATTGGGCTGAAGGGTCCGAGTCTGAGTCTAGGGCTAAGGGCTCAGGGTTTGGCCACCCTGACAATGCGAGTGGGTTGAGCAACCTACTTCATCCAAGTCGGTTACAATAGCGCCAGAAGGAGCATCGTAAGGCGAAGTACTACCTAGGATGTGAGCTATAGTCTAAACTCCAAATATCCCCCTTAATAAGTCCTATACTAAAAACCTAATATAACCCCTAAATAACCGCCTTTTGAAGGGAGTTTAGACTATAGAACATGTAGAATACAAGTTAACAACGACCCAGGTTAAGGGCTAAAGGCTGAGGGCATTTGAGCTTGAAAACTTACATCCTAGGCCCGAACCTCTGAATCCTCAACCCTAATGTTAAATCTGAACCCTAAACTTCTTCGTAAACCTAGAACCCTATACTTGTACATCCTAAGTCCAAAATGCTAAACCCTAAACCCAAAACCGCGCTGCTAACCTGGAATCCTAAACTCTAAACCCCAAACCTTTGGTTCGGGTGCGTTCAACACCTTGACGCGACTTCGGCGGCGCCAAAGATTCCGGCATTGCGTGGCATAAAGTCTACAAAAGCTCAAAAACATTGGGCAGGGTTTAGGGATTAGGGTTTAGGGCTTAGGGTTTAGGGATGAGCTTGGGGCTATATAGTCTTTGCACATCTCTTTGCATGGGCAGCATCTGGGTCATTTTAAGGTTGAAGGCACCCTAAACCCTCAACCCTTCACCCCAAAATTGGGGCTTACCCCAATATGCATGCCCAAAAACAAGAATCCTCATTACAGGGACAGAACAAGGGTATGTTCGAGGCTTACCACTCCTGACTTCTTAGCCAAACCTGTTATAAGGGTTTAGGGTTTGGGGTTTAGGGTTGAAGGTTTAAGGTTTAGGGTTTAGGGTTTAAGGTTTAGGGTTTAGGGTGGGTTTAGGCTAGTCTTGACAAAAAGAACCACAACATCAAGAATATTGCAGATTTAATGGCTGTTGCTGGCTCTCGAAGATGCCTTCCTACTGTAACTTACTAGGGTTTAGTGTTTAGGGTTTAGGGTTGGGAATATATATAAGGGTCATACATGGGGATTATGTGTATGATGCCTTGTTCTGTCCTCAGGATTCAGGGCTTAGGGTGTGCGGGCTTGGGGTTCAGGGATTAGGGCTTGGGGTTTTTAAGGTTCAGGGCTTCAAGTCAAGGCAGGCCACCGCAGTCGGGGTGGTCCCGATTCTTTGTCACATGCCAGATATTTTGCGGTCTTTTTGCTCATTGTTGCTATCCTTATTAGTTTTTGTGCGTTGAGGTTCTTACTGTTAGTGCTAGGAAATAGCAGCTAATCCTACCATTCTTTATGAATACTTGTCCGACATCGAAGAATGGATTCCAACAATTAATCCTACGAAAGTGCTTTGGCTCTGTACTTTCGTAATAGCACATGATAGAGGTGATTCTAGCAATTCTTTATGATTCTTAGTCTTTGTCTGAGTGGCAGTAGTGGCTTTTTAGTTTATTGCGGTTATTGATACAACCCTTGTGATTCTTATTGTTTCCGGTAGTACTTCAGAACCCTAAACCCTACACCCCTTCCTCAACGATCCCGCGTGTTATGTAGCGGCCAAGCATTTACCAAAAAACATTTGGAAGTCTATTTGTGGTAGCCTTTTCCATCCTCAGGCTTCGACAAAAAGCCTGGAAAGAACAACACATGAAACCTGTCCTTTGCGTGAATAAATGTGACATGCCACCACTGTAGGTACTGTGAGTCGTGCACTTGCCAGATCTCTTCGCGAATCATCTGTCCTTCCTTCGTATTAGCATGAGCCTAATTGCTGTAGTACTCATACAAATGCTACATAATCGCAGTGTACCAAGTATGTTCAATGCTGTTCTGGCTATGTAATAAAAGACCCCAGAAACTCCCAAGTCGTTCCGGACAGCGGCACATGCATATCAACCACATCTAAATAGCTTTGTCAGGGAGTATGCGAAAGACTAGCAAAGGTATCCATTCCTTCATTCCCAACTCGACACAAGTAAGAGAAAGGAAAATTGCAAAACGCTAGCGTCAGCTATCATCTATAGCTCGGTTTCCCTAAACCCTAAACCCTGGAAGCAGTGGCTTTTAGCAAGAGGCCAGAGCTTCGTAGTCAAAGCGGAAGCGCTCACGAATCAGGCCTGCCACCGCGGTACTCATCCTGGGCTAATCTAGGTTGGCCCCTAAAACCCATTGAAAAATATTAGTATATAGCGTCCCCTATTACAGCCGTTAGGGAAAATATTAAATGTCCCAGGGGCCTACCCAGTAATGTTCGGAAACTTCGATTAAGCTACTAGACCATGCGTTTTTGAGATGGGTTTCCGGAGTTCTTCCAGATATTATATAGGGGCAAGGGGTAAGTTACCATACTATGGACATGCAATAGATGTATAATCGAACCTACTCATCTGGTCACTCTAAACACCTCAATTGCAAGCCAGTCTCTGTGGCTTCCTCTTCGTGCGCTTCACCGCAGGAAAGCTCGGCAACGGAGTGCAGTGTTGGAATCCCCTGCAGAGCGCGTCTTCCACCCGCCGCACCGACTTTTCGACGTCCTCAATGCAGAAGACCACCTGCCAGTGCTTGGATGGTCTCTTGAAGGTTTAGGATTTAGGGCTTAGGGTTCAGTACGTCTACCTACTATCCCTTGTAAGGTGCCCATAACGCCTGTTCCTATGTAGACTTACTAAGTCAAGAGATGCTCCAACTAAACCCTTAACCCTGGATAGAAGATTTCAGGAAATTTCCCATCTTCCTTTCCGTTTGCTTCAGAATTCTTGGGGTACCTTAAACCCTAAACCCTAATAAGTCACCTGCCGGTGGTTGCTTGGCAGCGGCTTGTCCAGAGCAGGGCGGACATGATCCAGGTCGCTGGCTTCAAAGAGGGGAGAGGCCGATGCATTTGGGCTCAGAATCATGTGAATCCTTAGCTGGGCTGCTGTCATGGATCTCAATTTAACTTGATTCTATGGGGACCATATAAATTACTATATCTCCCTTTCTTCTAGCTTAAGTTAGGTTCCTGAGCAGCAACTCAATCAGCTGGCTGTAGCTTTTGGGTTTCAAAGGGCCTCCCTTGAAGAACTAGTCGGAAGCCCCGAAACTTAAAGTCCTAAGAGCCAGGCCCGACACCCTAAACCCTACGCCCGGAATCCTAAACCCTACACGCCAGCCAAGAATCCAGGTCTCAAATGGAGTGAAGGAACCCGGGGGTAGCAGGTGGCCTTTCCTGTGCGACCAGTAGCCATGGAAGAAGCTGGACATCCTTGCCTTTGAAGATTTGGGGGTTTAGGATTGAGGGTTGGGTGTGTAGGATTTAGCGAGGTTTAAGAACCTATAGGGGTTAGGGAATAACCGAGAATGAATGGGAAAGAAGATGCAAGATGAAATGGAAGCTGCTATAGGGCTTAGGGTTTGCGATTCAGGGGCTTCAGAAGTTGGCGCTTCAGGTCAAGGAACTGAATGCTTCTTCAGTCTTTTGCGTCTCAGGGCCTAGAGTCTAGGGTTTCAGGCTCAGGCTACGCGAAGTATATAGGCCGTAGGGTTGACGGTCTAAGCAAATTTGATGACTGAGGTTCCGCAGCTGGACTTCACAAGAGTGAGACAATTGCTAGCAAACTGAACAAACCTCGTACACCCTACAAAAATCTGCCTCCCTAGAAGAAGGATCCGTTTTGCGTGTACATGAGTAAACCTAAACCACCCAAAAAAAAACAGGAGCCCTGATGTTGGCGTAGAACAGTTTAGGGTTTAGGATTGAGGGTTCAGGGTTTGGGGTTTCAGGTTTAGGGCTAGAGAGACCGCATAATCGCTGCACACTGAAACCAGAAAATTCTGAAGCCCAGGCAGCTGAAGCCCAAATGCTTTAAAGTTTAGGGCTTAGGGTCCAGGGTTTAGGGGGTTGCGTTCGGACATCACCCCCCACCCGCCCCGCAACCAACATGAAATCCAAAAAGGGCCTTGTTAGGCTACTGGGTTCTGGGGGTGTTTAATACGAACACTAAGCCCTAAATCATCAGAAGCAATTTCCACTTTTCCTCTCTAGTTCCCTATATACCCCTTTTCCTGCACCCAAAACCCATCACGTACAGCCCTAAACCCTACAGGGGTTAGTTCGGGATTTGGACTCAGTCCGGGCGGCGAAGGGATCCCGGATGAAGATCACCTTACCATCTTCTTAAAGGCTTGGGGCTGAGGATTTAGGGTCTAGGGTTTGAGCGATAAAGTTTTGGGGTAGCTTTGGGTTTGGGGTGGCTTAAGGTTTGGGACCAGTGGCTTGGGCAACAGGATTTAGAGCTTCAGGAAACAAGGGAACTTCAGCCAATATTGCAGTCAACACCTTAAATACCCTGCGAACTCAAACTTACAAGCTCCTGACAGTCACCTGCCCCTCGCTCAACCTCCTGAAGGGTGGGTTTAGGGTTTAGGGTTTAGGGTTCTTGGGATTCAAGTTATGGGGCCCCAAACCCTACAACTAAAACCCTAAATCCTGGCTAAGCAGTGTCGGAAGAATTCTCAAAATGGGGCTACTCAAAAGGACTGTATGAACATATATGTTTTTGTTGAAGACTATAGACTACCAGAAGTCCAAAATTGTACTTTTTTGAATTTTTCCAAGAACGGTGTCCTGGAAACCCCCATAAACCCCAAACCCAAAACCCAACACCCTAAGCCCCAACCACATGGGTTATTCTCCAAAAAAAAACCTTTGGGCTCTGGATTACGGCCCCTCACATCTAGAGGTACCAAAATTGGGACCCGCACTTTGGAAACTACCCCTAAACCCTGAATCCCAAACCCTAAGCCCTAAACCCTAAGCCCTGAAACCCTAATCCCTAAGCCCTGAACCCTAAGCCCTGAAACCCTTGACCCTAAGCCCTAAACCCTAAGCCCTGAAACCCTAAGCCCTGGAACCCTAAACCCTAACCCCTAAACCTTAAGCCCTGAAACCCAAACCCTAAGCCCTAAACCCTAAGCCCTGAAACCCAAAACCCTAAACCCCTAAGCCCTAGACCCTAAGCCCTGAAACCCAAAACCCTAAACACTAAACCCTGAACCCCAAACCCTAAGCCCTAAACCCTAAACCCTTGACGAATCGCCCTTAGCCGGCCGTACCCGTGGAGGCAGCAGGTTGGGCACAGCGCCATGGGAAGGCCTATCCTGTAGGATGCTTGGAAGTCTGGGCTTTAGGGTTAGAGTCGGGGGTTAAGGGTTTAGGGTTTAGGCTTTAAGGTTTAGGGTTTAGGGTTTAGGGTTTAAGGTTTAGGGTTTAGGGTTTAGGGTCTAGGGTTTAAAGTTTAGGGTTCATAGTTATTTAGGGTTTAGGGTTACATTCTGTAAAGGTCATGTCCTGGGTTTCGACAAGGTTTTGGATAAATCTCTTTCCTTTGGGCTGTTTTTGGCCATATATAATTTCCATGTATTCGGGGCCTGAGGGTATAGGGCTTAGCGTTTTGGAGCTGTGCTTCGGGGTCTTAGGGCTTGGGGTTTACAAGACTGGGCTTAGGGCTTAGTACTTGGGGCTTTGGCTTTTGGACTTCAACGTTGGTGAAAACAAGGGCTTAGGGTTTGGGGATGCCCCAAACCCTAAACCCTAAACTGCGTGGCTCTGTGCTTCGGACACATTGGGATTTGCGGCCTGTCATTGAATTTCTGTTTCGAAAGAAGTCGTCGGATCTTTTGCATTCCCCCTGCAAACTCCATGGAACCCAGGGTTTAGGGCTCAGGTTTAGGGGCTTAGGGCTTAGACCCACAAGCTGACACTCCAATGCGTTTGAGGCCCAGGTGAATCCTGAACCCAAAACCCTAAACTACGGTGGATACCAAAAATCCTGCATGACCCTAAGTATATTATCTTGGGAATTATGGTACTGTACTATGTTAAGGTCATGCAGGATTTTTAGTATCAACAAATCACCATCTGAGTCTGGGGGACAGGGTAAGTAAGTCATACGGACCCCCCCTCAGACATAGAACCTATGTAGCCACCTGTTTAATCTTGCCGTGGTCTTTGCAGGGGCCGCCCCCTTTATGCAATCTTTGTCTGAAAAAGATCATGTTGAGCAAGACCTTCCGAAACTCTAAACTGGTTATTTGTAGCGATCTTGCTTAACATTAAATGTCAATACTCCTTGCGAGGTTGTAGGTTACGACATAACGTAAGTTAAAGAAAAGATGCATTCAGCAATGACCCATAGATTCAGGGTCAACTAACCCTCCGTCTATACTACCGGCCCCCAGGTTCCCTCCATATTGGGCTTAGACAGGGTTGTGTAAGGCCAACTAATGGGAAACCTTGGGGTGGTAGTATAAGGGGGGTTGTGAGGAGAATCCACAAGGTGAACCCGCTAAACCCTAAACCTGAAATCCTTCATCATAAACGGTTTAGGGTTTAGGGTTTAGGGTTGAATCCTAAATCCTAAACCCTAAACCCTAGATCCTAAAGCTGATCCAAAGCATCCTGGCATCGTCCAGCATGTGCAAGCTCCTGCCCAAACAATCCAGAGCCCAACCACGCGGTTTAGAGCTTAGGGTTTAAGGATTAGGGTTTAGGGTTCAAGGATTACTAGGGTTCAAGGATTACCGTTTTGTAGCTAACTTTGGTTTGCAGGTTTGCAGGGCCTGAAGGAATAAAAGCGGAAAAGGAGAACGGCTGAATGTGCTGTGGATTATAGAGGGATTGCCACGAGGCTCCATTCCCCTATGCCATTCCTAAACCCTAAACCATGAACCCTGAACCGTGCCAACCAGATGCATGTCCCTCTCTCTAGGTATGTATACTACGAAAAAACACCAATGTTTGGGGGGCTACAGGCTACAGCCTGGATAAAACTTAAGCGTGTTCCAAGGGTTTAAGGTTTAGGGATTCGTCCTTTTTCTTCTGGAAGTTGGTAAGTGGACAATGCGCGTTTAGGGTTTGAGGTTTAGGGTTTAAGGGATAACTGGGCTTGCCACTCTACTTTAAATCTTCTTGAGGTACTCCGAACAGATGCTAAAACATGAACGAGCTTCGGCTATGCTGGGTTCAAGTATACATGAAACGTATTTTCAACTACATTAACTACAACCCACTTATCCTTCTTAACTTTCAGATGCTTCCTGGCGCAGGGGTTTAGGGTTTAGGGGGAATTTTTGGTAAGGGCTCAGCTCAGCTGTTTAAGATCTGATGCTGTGAGACTCAGAATCCTGCTTTAGATCCGAACCATCCTCCTTCTTAGGATCATGACAGCCTTTCCGCGAGGGCCCTAAACCCTAAACCCTAAACCGAATACAACTCCACGTATCCTACGCAAGAGGCTACCATGCTGAAGTCACAGTCCAGGAGAAGGGGATCTGGCTGCAATCGATGGTTTAGGGTTTAGGGTTTAGGGTGGGCAGGTTGGTTAGGTTTAGGGTTTAGGGTTGAGTTTTCTTAGAAGAACCTGTAATATGCCATGGATTAGGAACCACATAACGTTTTCCTGGTCCTCCACAGGCCCTAGGGCCCCTGCTTTGCGGAACCACACCCCATGTCCCCGTTGAACACCTGCATTCACTAGGACCATGCTTAGTTAGATGAAGCCCCTAGCGCCCCAGCCCTTCACCCCCTCAGACATCCCTCTTTCTTATGCTAATTCGCCGAGGCATCCAGCCTCAGGGCGTTCAGATCCCAGTCCAGCCTGACCATCCCGCATGAAATTTCAGCCTCGCCCAAGGTTCGAGACTTTGGCAGTATGCGGCAGGGCGCATTTTCGTTCAAAACAATGCTCGCAGAGGCTGGAGCCCCCCCTGGAGGCCCTTGGAGGCCACTGGAGCCGCCTGGAACGGCCTGGAAGCGCCTGGAAACCCTCCCACATGCATGGATGAAGCTGAGTAACCTCTACAGACCCTAATATATACTATGGCTTACAATATATACTATGTCTTTTTATGGGTTTCGCGTTTTGAATACACTTAATTGGGATTTGCGGTGGATTATGACAAGAGCACCCCAATATACATTTAGACTATTGGTCAAGTGATTGTGGACACCAGAAGGTTTTCAGGCTCCGAATGCTATACACTAAACACTGTTTTGGACCTAAAGCAATCACTTTGGGAATTGGTAAAC